AAAATAAACCAAATATGATAGTTGGGGTATTAAACATGTAGTTTATCCTAGATAATGATAACGAAGGGAAGCTCTTTTGAAATTTCTAGTGCAATAGTTTTGGGTTGTCCCTTCCGGCAAAATTGTTCAGTTGAGTAGAAAAATTTGCCCATTAGGTCATCTCAAAATTATTTGAGATCTACGGAAAATGTTACGTGTACGAAAAACTCATGCTCACATGATAAGTTTGTCCAAATAGTATTTTTATTTAGATTCATCAAATCGACGTGATAAATTTTTTTAAAAAAATATAATTATTTTATTAGAATTTATCACGTTGGTATGATAAGTTTCAATAAAAAAAATATATTTTATTACAACTTATCATGCCTACCTGAAGAGTTCCAAGTTACTATAGTAAATGTCGTAGATCCCAAATTAATTTTGGAATGACTTAATGGGCCAATTTTTTTACTCGCCTAGTCTATTCGACCAATTTTGCCTATCCTTTTGTGTTTAAGTAGGGTTAGGTTTAGTCGTTGATGTAAATACAATGGACTTTTCTTCTTACTCAATTGAATTAAGTTCCAATTTATTAGGAATATAAGATATTTATGATAAGCGTAGTCCTTGAACTTGAAATTTTTCCAATTTAGTTTATGAATCTTTTTCGTCCACATTGGTCCTTCAACTTAATACTCTTTTTTTAACCATTTTTGGCCTTTTTGATGATGTGACACGATATCAAAATGTCATGTCTTCAAGTTAAAATGTTGCCAAGTTTAGGGATCAAGATGGACGGAAATAAAACTCAAACATGAACAATATATGGAAACTTTCAATTCCCGAGAGAGTTTGAGGTTTCCTTCGGTTGGCCATGTGCGACAAAGTACTCCACAATCGATGTATGCGAGGGTTTAACAGGGATCCCTCTTGCAGTTTTTGTGTTAAACAATGCTTCACATTTTAAGGGGCTGTCAAACCTCTCGTGCATTTGGAACAAACTCATCATGAAATACCCTTCCCCTTCATTCTATACTTCCTCACACGATGATTGGCTGCTGGAAAATTTAAATTCTAAGTTTATTTATGATGAGTTTCAGGATCATTGAAGCTCGGTTCTCAAACTCGAACTCGAATTTGAACCTACAAAAAATCTTATATTACATTTAAAATATATAAATAATTTTCCCTTTAATCAACCATCACCAATACATTTTTTTATGATAATATGAACTCATTTCAGAAACATTATAGGATGCATACAAGAGTAGTTATGGTTGTATAACAGGTTCTAAACACATAAGATCAAACATGCGCCCACAACAGACAACCATTTACAATCCTCCCCAAAGCAAAACAACAACTCTTGCCATAAAAGTAGTGTTTCAAAACTCAAAATACAAATGCAAATCTTCCATAGAAAACATGAAATCCACCAACAAAATATTCCAATCTACCTGTTCATGTACCACAAAACCCAAATTCACCAAAATAAAAATAATAGTAACATGCCTAAGCTTCAATACATAGCACCTATAAAAAAAGAGTAAAAGACAATAAATAATAATAAATTATTCTATAAAAAAGCATGAAATCATTACAAATATGAAGTAAAAAATACAAGATTAACAAATTCAAATATTAAACCTTTTATTGTCACATTATCGATTCTTTCGAAGGTACTGATATAATAATTTCTTTCGGTTGTTTGTCATTATTCTGCAATAATTTAAAAACTCAAATAAGTCTACATATATTTAAAAAAGTAAACAAACTATGTTATAAGAAAAATACATTTACCTTTTTCTTTCTTTTCACTCCATGAAGGGATCTACACCAATCACCTGCACACATCAACATTTGAACTGTTTCTGGAGTAAGGGAAGACCTATAAGGATCTATTACACGACTTCCAGCACTAAATGTAGCTTCAGAAGCCACAGTAGTAATAGGAACAGCCAATACATTTACTACCATCCTAGATAAAATGCGAAATTTGTTTGACTTCTCCTTCCACCAAGCAATGACATCAAATTTCGCATCTTGACTAAAGATGCACCCCTCATCCAAATATGTATCAAGTTCAGACTTAACACACGGTACATATGTTTCTCCACTAAAAACGTCTTGCAAAAGCTCATACAAACCACTAGATGTAACATCACCTCCATGAAGCACTCATGGAGTATAGGCATGACTAACCTTCCCAATAGACATACAAACAATGCAGAGCAGTCCACAGAAATTGAAAAACAACCAAATAAGGAAACCATATTTCTGACCTTCTTCCGACAACTGCATATGTAGCCATATTAACCCCAAGCTCCAGTGATAAGATAGCATTCAGAAGAGAACGATGCTCACAACCATGAAAGCAATAAACACTTACACAGTTCCTAGCACTGGTGAACCATAGAGTGTCAATTACAGTCCAGGCACAAAGAAATGGATAGAGTAGCATAAATAGAATCGAGAGGACCACTATTCTTCCACAAAAACGAGCATACCTCTGCTGCCATCCCAAATCCCTAGAAGCAAATGAAGTCAATCATAAGATAATTACCTGTCATGTAAAACAACATCTATTATCGGAATACTACCTTTTACAGAAGAAAGAATTGCAGGTAACTGCAACTGCGAATCAAAAAGTACAAAGTAAAAATAGATTTTTAAACTGTAATGGGTAATTGGCATTCTAGTAGCTATGTTGAGTGGCATGACAACACTACTATGAAAAAAAATAAAAAATAATAAAGCAACAATTTATACCTAAAGATGAAAAATTCTCAAGCCTGTGATCAAACAGTCTCATTTGAACTACTTAAGAGTAAAAGATGAGTACTTACAAACCCATTCCAGGCAGCCAGCCCGTTATCTACAAACATCAAAAGACGAAAAATGAACACAACAGTGTAATCAACCTGAAACAATAGCCATTGAGTTACGGATTCAGAAGAAACTTTTTCGTGCATCAACAAAATCCAGAAGTAAACAACTTTTTCAATCCATAAAAAATTCTCAAATAAAAAACACTCACCATAGTCCATATATGCAATGGGTATGTACAATCATGATAACGCTTCCAATTGATTGCAACAATGATTCTAATCGAAAAGACTTGTTAAAGAACTAACAAGTACTTCTCCAATAAACACAAAAGAAGACAACAATAGATTCATTTCCTCCAATTTTCCAAGCAGTTAAACTGTGCTAAACAAAACTCCATAAATGTACAAAATTAGCAAGAAAATCAGAATCCGAACTGATAGAGATGGGTTGGCTGACCAAGATTCTTAAAGGTAAAAGACTGCTGCCGGCTGGTTAGCAAATATCATTTCAAGAAATGGGTTGGCTGACCAAGATTCTTAAAGGTTCAAGTAATAAAGGGCGATATCATGGAAGATACGACACCGATAGAACTTGGGATGAGCCTCGCCGTTCAGCGGTACTGCTGTGCTCTTTATAAGTATTCACTGGTTGTGAGAAAAAGAAAGAAAAACTAGCAGTGGCCAGAGAACAGTAAGTAAAACCTTACCTTCTCGTCGATAGGAGCTAGCCTTTGTCGTCCGGAGTCTTGGGGGAGCATTTAGACCACGGTGGCTGTGAGTTTCTGCTAGGGCTGTGCGAGTGGACGAGGTTTGAGAGGAGAATGGTGAGGGGGGAAGTTTTAGTCAGGGAATGTTTTGAGGGGGAAATGAATTAGGGTAAGAATTTTTACCTTAGATATCTTGCTTTAGTGTTCATTCAATTTGTGCTTGTTTTTAATTGTGTCTTGTAATTTTAATTATTTGACATTGTAATCCCTTAGTTGGCTTGTTTAATTTAATGAGTAATTTCTACTTTCTATGCCAATTTTCAGTTTTATATTGTTTTGGTCCTTCAGGGTATTTTTAAAATATGAGTTTAAGTTATTAATAGTAGGTTTAATTTTATATTGTTTCATCTTAATGTATGTGCATTTGTATTTCATTCGTATGCATGCATGTATCGTGTAAGCACACTTTAGTTTAGGTAATAATTTGATCCATGTTTAAGATTATCTTCTTTTAAGTAATTGTGTATAAATTAAACCATGAATCCTAAACCATGAACCCTAAACCATAAACCCTAAATCTTAAACCATAAACCCTAAAACTTAAATCATAAACCCTATCACATAATTATAAGGGATGAGATGTCTTAGTTGTATTATAGAATTTTTAATATATTTTTAAAATTTTATAATTATTAATAATGTATTTTTAATAATGTAATTTTAAAAAATCTAAAATTATAATATAACATTTTTTCGAGTAGCTCACGAGCTTTTCGAGTCGAATATCGAGTAGCTCATTTCGGCTCGTTAAGAAATCGAGTCGAGCTCGAGCTCGAGTCGAGTCCATTCGATCCGAGTATTTATCGAGTCTTGATCGAGTCGATCTCGAGTAGCTCGCGATCTGTCTCGTCTCATTTACATCCCTACTTGGAATGTGCTTTTTGCGTCCTTAGTTTGGCAGCTATGGAAGACCCGCAACCTTGTTATCTTTCGGAACCAGGTTGCTACCCCCGAATCTATCCTTCATCTCAGTATTACCTATAGTAAAATTTGGATTAGATACGACGTTTTACATTATTGGATTAGATATGATGTTTTACATTATTTATTAGGGCTAAAAGCACAACAACAAAAGTGGAATTTGGAGCACGGTCGACGTGGACTACAAAACGCCTTTGCTCTAAGCCTCTAAAAGACCTAATCATCACTTTCTGCCTTAAAATTTAGACAAAAGACCTTATTTATTTATTCACAAAATAAAAAATGGAAAAACGAAGAAAAGCCAATGCTGCAGACCGAATGCACATGTTCTCTTCCTCGTTCGGATCATTTCATCCATTTTTTCAGTGATTTGGCTCTCCTATTCTCATCATCATCATCCTAAATAAATAAATTCCTTTGCAAAATAACAAGGAGAAGGAGAGCAAGGGAAAACTCCCAAAGACAAATCATAAAAAAAGAAGAAAAAGCCCCACTGTGACTAACTACTCACCTTCAAATTTATTTCTATTAATGTCCTTGTAATCTCCGACATCCGATCTCTATTTTCGTTTTTTTTCCTTTCATGATTTGCGTTTCATCGTCGCAGCTTTCTTTTTCAGGTGTTTCTCTTAATCCAGGTGATTTTCTCCCCATAGATGAATAAAAAGACATTCTTCAATTTAATCATCTGATTTTTTAACTAAATTTGGGGAAGAAATGGGATTGAGTTTTCTTGTTGCCTCACGTTTTTTTTGTCAAAAGACCAAAGCTTTACTAGTACAGAAGCGAGTTACATTATTTCTAAAAAGACCTTTATTTGGATTCATTTCCATTTTCTTTGATGGGTTTGCCAATGTGATAAAATTTGTGATTTTACCCCTTTTCTTGATGCAGATGATTAATTTTGCATTCTTAGATTGCTGATTCTGCAAACTACATTTTGTTGATTTTGTAATTTGAGGCTTCACTAAGCGAGTCTCTCTGATTAGTTTTCGTATTTCAACATTTTATTCCCACTGATCTGCTGATATCGCCTCAAAGTATTCTGTACAAAAGCTGGAAATTTGAACTATTCCTGTTCGTGAGTGGAAGGTTAGTGTCAATAACAATGTTGTTCTATCCCATGTTACTTTTTCAGTGTTCATCCGTCGTTTCTTTATTCCTCTGCTAGGTTGCAGCTAGTTATGGATGTCAATGCATGGAGATTTTGACATGGTTGTACTTCAATTGTAGGTTAGTAGCAATTGCATGCCTTGATTTGTTTCCACTTGATCATGGTGCTTTAAATTTGACTGCTTGATCTGCGCTTAATTTGAATGAGTAGTTATAATGCTGTGGTTTTGCACTTGATTGAGAGGTTGAGAACATAGTGACAATTGCCTTGATTTTCCACTTGGCCTAGTGGCATGGTTCTTATGTTGTATGGCATGGGAGCTTGGGGTTAAATCCCTAGCATACCTTTCTGCATTCCTCAATTATCGATTATACCCAAAAAAAATGGTGTTGCTTTATACCGTTGAACATAAAATTCGAGTTGGTCAGTTCTGGCAACTTTGTTTCACACATGCTCAGGTACATTTTCACGTCTGCATTTCTAACTTTGAGTTTTACGTTCATATCTTGATCTCTAATTGACCTGGCATTTTAGAACTAGAACTGTTGGTATTCTTTTTTACTTTCTTTTTTGACAGACCAATATTCATTGCTTAGTTTTGATATACTTGAACTATTAGGCTATCATATTGTATGCCATGTAACATAAAGTTCTTTCCTGCACTTCCTCTCAAAAATCAATTTGTGCTCAAATTACTGGTTGGGGCTGTCGCTTGCAGACATATGTAATTTGGTAAAGAATAACTCAGGAACGTCAAAGCTTATTTTGTAACCTCAACATATTTTTTATTATTATTACTTCATTTTCTTCATGCATTGGAAGAACCCTCACCCTCCTAACCCTCACCTTCCTCTTTCTCCCCTTCTTTTATAACTGAAATGTGAATATGGATATTGTGCTCATCTTTTTCAGATTTAAACTACCAGTCTGAGCTTGTGGTCCCTTCAGTATTTTTGGCCTGAGAAATGGGAGCCTGACTGGACATTTGTTTTGAAATTTGGAATAATATTTAGCGACTCTGAGATATTTGGAATATATCTGCCCTGATGCAAGGTCAGGGGGGCACCGTTGACTCCTTTCCTGAAACTGTTAACATTGATGAGGGATCTAGTCCCAATGACACGAGTATTGGACAACCAAATTCTTTGCATAACTTGCTGAATCCTGTGGAAAATCAGTTATCCAATTATGCAGTGTCTTCTGGTGGGACGATGCATGGAAACACCACTACACCCAACGTTCAGAGCTTTAGTGGCTGGAGTTCTGGTGAACCGAGCTCTAGATTGAGAATGCAAAACCAGGCGATGCAGGATGTTCTAAATCACCAGCTTAATGATGATGGAACAAAAATAGAGTGTGCTTGGCCTTCTTATGGTGCTCATTTTGTGGCTGCTCCAAGGTCAGAAGAAAGGCGGGTTGAACCAGCAAATGCTGTTTTTCCTAGGAGACTGAATAATGGTAGAAGTGGTAATCAGGTCCGGAGTGGGCCCATATTTTTGCAAGGTTCAAGCTCTAATCATAGCCCACAAAATGCGAATCTAAATGAAAGGTTTATTAGCAGCAGTGGTAATGGAAGGTCAGACATTGGAACTGGTATAAGTCTCAATGTCCATAACTCGCTTGGACTAGAAAGAGAACAGATATCTAATGCCAGTGTTTCTTCTGATAATGTTGGTAGTTCATCCGGAGGCTCTAATCTTTTGGGGGAGGAAAATATTGATGGCTCTGGCTCTTCTTTGGGTAGTTGGGGTTTATCCTGCAAAAGGAAGGTCCTTGAAGGTACTTCTGCACAGTCTTACTCTGCTGGTGCTTCGAGCTGTTTTCAACTGATGGAAAATGCTGCATGGCATGCAGGCCCCTCACGTAACGATGCTTCTAGCAGCTTGAGTTTATCAACGCCCTCTTGGAATTTCCTTAATGTTGGTCCCCTTGATCAGACGAATCCAAGAGCCGGGCTTCGTATGAGAGGAGCAATTACTGATGCATTTACTTCGAGTGTAAGAAGAGAAAATCCAGGAAATCAACAAGAATCTTTACCATATAGTTTATCATCAACCGGGGTTGCTGGGCATTCTAGTTTTGGCTCTCCTGGGCATCCTAGAACAGCCTCATTTGATGATTCCTTAGACTTGAGATCCACTGGGGCAATAGCTGGAATTTCTAGTTCTGTTCCGACTCAACCTCATATGAGGACCACTTCTGTTGTGCCAAGAAATGTGAATCCTTTCCCTTGGAATGGTACTTCAAGTTTAAGAGCTTCCAACCCATCAAACTCTACCAATTTTGGAGAGAGAGCTGCTGCATTACAGGATGAACCAAACTTAAGAAATATCCCAAGAAACAATCCAGATCATCCAATGCTTGTACCAGCAACTGAGATGAGAAATGTAGTACAGGATTCAACAGGTTGGAATTTGGCTTCTGGAAATATTAGTTCTTCTGGAGGTGGTATGCCATCTTCTAGTCGACCTGGGCCTAGTTCAAGTACCCATCCTTTGCCCACTCATGCCTGGATTCCTCCTCAGAACCCACCATTGCATAATCAACAAAGACTACCAGAATTTTCTCCGTGGTCTTTATTTCCATCAATTGATTCTGAACTTGGTGGTCGTGGTGGCCATTTTCCATCATTGTCTTCAGGTCCTTCTGCTCCCTCACGAGAGACGGTGGTACCATCTGGGTCAATCATTCAAGGTAATAATCAACCATACCCAAGGTCAGCATTCATATTGGAGAGACAAGATGATGATGTCCTCGGGATGCCCCACTCATTGCGAGCTTTGGCTGCTGACATTGAAGGGAGACACCGGCTAATATCTGAGGTTTGTTTCTGAAGATCTATTTGCTAGTTTTTAACTTCATTATCTCTGTACATATATGTCTAAGGCTTCCTAAATAGGGTTTGTTTTCATTAGTGATGACAAATTTGGCTTTCCAGATAATGATGGTTAGTAGCATTCTCGAATTACCTACTTACCCAATCTTATGATGTGCAGTTAAACTTAGTAACTAATATTGTGTCTATCCATATAAACTTACATCCCTGCATGCATGCATACCTATGGTTTATATACTTGTACGGACAAACATAAAACCATCAATAGATTCTAAGATGATTTAATTTCTAAATTGCTATTAGCATTGTTTATTTGTTTTTGGCATTTCATATTTGATGCTCTTCACAAATTCATTTTGGGTAGGACATTTGCAAGTACCTTTAGTTATCCATGTACGTTATATTGAACCGTCAAGGGAAAAAAACATCTTTGTAGATTCTTTACTTTGTATTTTTCATTTTTATGTTCTCCCCAATTATCAGTTTGTAGGTGTTCCCTTTATCGAAAACTTCCATCCACTTCATCCTCATCACAATATTTCTTCCTTTAAAATTATATCACAATCTTATGCTTATTTTGTGACAGGAATAACTTGTCGTCTAATTTTTTTTCCTTTTGTAATTTCATACTGGGTAACTTGGCAGCTATTTATGATTTTGCACTTTCAGAAATAATCAATGCAGTTAACATGTCATATTAGTTCTTAATCAAATTCTGATGTAAAATTTCCCTTTCTGGAACATTTAATCTTCAAATATCCGAACATAATTGTAAGTTTATATGATATTCAAGCTTTAATTTAAGAATGTTATTTATTTTAGAGAAAAAAGGAATTAATGGAAACAGGAAAGAAATAAGACAAGCTGTAGTAAATCAGGCTCAATTGAGTGTTTGTGCAAGCTATTTGGATCATCTATAATCATTTATTCCTTTTAAGGCTTTTCTAAGCTGTATACTCTTGATCCCTGCTGATGTTCATCTTTCGTATTTAGTCTGTATCAACTTTTTGCCATTAGTGTTTTCTGCCCCTTGCATACGAGTTTTTATCATTTTACCACATCTTTTGTACTGGACTGTTATGTTTTCCCACCTTAATATGTAATTAAGAAATGAGGTCTTGAGCAATCTCATCTTCAACCTGGATATAAAGCTTGTTAATATTGTCTATTACAGTTCTGAACAATTAAATTTTGAGATGAAAGATATGCACCTATAACTCTCCCTCCCCCTTGTAGAATGGCAATTGAACGTAAGAAAATATTCTTATTCCTTACTGCTCATTCTTCTCCATGTCTCAGATACGCCAAGTCTTAAGTGCCATGCGTAGAGTGGAGAACTTACGAATTGAGGTTTGGTTTTTGATTTGTGCAATGTTTATATTTAAGAGTATAGTTTTCTTTTTGGTCTTTGGCTACATTGACTATAATTGATTTAGCTGGTTAAGTTTGAAAAAATTGTTTCCTTTTCTTTTTGCCTTTAATCTTACAAATCAGTTTCAAGGTTTCACCAATAGGTAATATGGTTTCTGTGAAACTCATTTACTGAATTTTCCTCGTACCATGTTTTCTCTAAAATACAACTAACCTGCCATAAGTGCATTTAAAAAGTTGTGATTTTTATGAAAATGAATGTATTTCTTAGAACAGGATTGAAAATTTAGTAGCTTCAAGCATTTATTTGACTTTGGTGCAAAAATTTCACTATAGCAGTTTGAAACGTGTTGGTGCTAATGCGCCGAAACAATATTCTCATTCTTTATTGGCCTCTAGATTAGGTTGTCTTGTCGATTACTAGCTTGGCCTTGAATTATCTGTTAGAGATGGTTTTCAAAAGAATATTATCGGATAATTTGGTGCACGGAAAATTTGTTCTGCAGATCAATGCCTAGATTGCTTCAGCAGTTGGACATGCTATTGATGTAATTTTTATGTTCATAGTTGCATACATTTCTAGTTACTTCCTAAACAGGTTCCCACAAATTGAGAGATAAAGAGCTCTGTAGGAGCACCCGCGTAGAAAGCCTACAAAGAGCTATGTTATCTGCAAATAATTTAGTTATATCTTTATGTGATACCGGTTCAGGATTATATGGTGTTTGATCCGTTCATATATCATGGTATGGCCGAAGCACATGACGGACAAAGAGACATGCGCCTTGATGTTGATAACATGTCATATGAGGTAAAAAGGGATCGCTGACTGTTTTTTGTTCAATCACTTCACATTGAAAGTTATTCTTCTCACATTGCAAATGGAACACTAGGAATTGTTGGCATTGGAAGAACAGATCGGAGATGTTAGCACCGGGCTGAACGAGGAAGCCATTCTGAAGTCGATGAAACAGAAAAAGTATTCATCCACTGCACCGGAATCCACACAAGAATTGGAACCATGTTGTATCTGTCAGGTACGATACTAGACGACAGTAGATATTCCTTCCATCTTACATGTTTGTTCGAAGTCCCGTTTACCTTCTCCAAACTTCAACAATGGCAGGAACAATACGCAGACGGGGATGATACCGGGATATTAGATTGTGGACATGACTTCCACACAGACTGCATCAAACAATGGTTAATGCTAAAAAACGTGTGCCCCATTTGTAAGACAACAGGCTTGCTCAAATGAGAGCAAAGGCTGTTGTCGGTTCGAATAATAGGGTTTATTATCTAATTCAAACCGGCTTTGCTTTCCCTTGAACTGCAACTTTCAAGGCGACAGAGCAGCTGTTAATGTTATGAATTGCAGGATGAGTTTGTTCAATAACTTGCATAAAGCATCATGACAATGATGAACATATTTGAAATAATAT